TCGTGTGCTGATGAAGGTGTGGAACCCTATTAGCAAGGCACATTTCTTAAAAATTGTTGTTTTCCTCTTGATAATAAAAGTAAAATATATTCATTCGAACAAAGCAGATAAACTGGGCATGGTGATGTATGCCTGGAATCCCAGCATTCGGGAGGCTGAGGCAGGAGGAGCGTTGCAAATTTGAGACCAGCCAAGGCTACAGAGTGAGATCAAGCCCAGCCCGAACTGCGTTGGGAGATCCTATCTCAAAAAAACCAAAGGTAAAAAAAAATCAGATAATAAGACAAGGTTTTAAATAAAAATAATAATCACTCGGAATTTTATTCCCCAGGGCAAAGTTTACCAACACTACGTTGTCTTGTTATCCACACATATTTCTCTGCCTATCTACCTATTTATCATCTATCATGTATTTTATAGAAATTCTCTGTAGCACATATCAATTTTATGTAATACATGTATTTTCTGTTTACATGTTGTTTTTTCCACTTACTATCTCAGGGGCCTGTTTCCATGGTATTAACATAGATCTCCATGCTTGTTGGGTTTGGTGGTGCATGCCTGCAATCCCAGCACTCAGAAGGCTGAGGTTGACCATCACGAGTGTGAGGCAGCCTGGCCTACATAATGAATTTGCATCTACCCTGAACCTCATAGAGAGACCCAATGGCTGTTCATTCATCTAGAGCTCTTTAACTGGGGTCCTTCCTGGCCTTTCTCCAAGCATGCATGTTCAGAAGGTTCATTCTGTCTGATGTGAAATCAGAGGAACTTAGCAGAAGTTTTTTAAAAAGATGAAATATGTTATTTATTTCAAAGAGAAATTTCAGGAATGAGAGAGGTAAAGTAAAACAAGAAATGGTTGAGGAAAGGAATGTTAGGCATTTGTAATTATTTTATTTCAAACTACATAATTTCTTGCAAATGAGACTTGACCTTTTTATTCTTCTGACACTCTGATTATATCTGAAATACTTTTTAAAAAGTCAAATTATACCTGTTTGGGGTGAAGTGTCAAAGTTTCAGCAAATACACTGTCTACTTCTGTTCCTAGACCTCTCAGAAGGATGCTGAGGGGCCAGAGCTTCCTAGTAGGCTTTTTTTGGCGGGGGTGGGGGGGTGAGGGTGGGGGGGTGGGGGGGGTGGTGATCAATCAAGGAGAGCCCACTAACCTGGCCTTCTTATGTGTGAGTGTCTGGGTGTGACAAATGTGCAAAAGTGAGAAGAACCCTGACACAGCAGAAGTCAGGAACTGTCTGCAGCTATTCTGCACCTGGTTAGCAGCGCTGGTCTTGGACTGTAGAAGAGGACCTATTAGTCATGGCAGATATGGGGCTGGGGATTTAGCTCAGCGGCATAAGCGCCTGCCTTTCAAGTGTGTGTTCATGAGTTCAATCCCTGGTACTGATAAAAAAGAAAAAGACAAAAAAAAAAAGTCATGGTAGATAAGCAGCTAGGATTAGGAAGTAGCCTGCATCTGGCTGGCCTTCAGCACAGGGAAAGTCCGAGGTGTGATTTGCAGAAACAGGAAGAGACCGGAGCCGGAAGTGGGCACGGAGGAGGCACCTTCACCAGGTGGGCACAAGTGGGTGAGACCTGGGCTCCTTGGGGCCGTGGCTCGCGGGCTGCAGGGAGCTGAGCTTGCAGGGTGCGCAAGAGGGGCTGCACAATGGCCAGGTGCAAGCAGGTGGGTGATGCAGATGGTCTTGGGTAGACCGGCCACCATCAGGGACAGACACAGGACTAAAGAGACGCCGTGGGAAGGTTCATCTCTAAATTTTCCTTCAGCATCTTTCTCAAATGGGTTTTTTCTTCCAAAGCCCTTCCCTCCCTCAGGGGAGCAGCAACTGATTCTCTGGATTCTCCCAGCTCCTTGCTGTCTCTGCTGCTCCAGAAAGTGAGAGGGAACCACACTGAAGAGGGTGCCACCCCCAGAGACTGGGACATTCATCCTGCCTTGCGTTTAGAAACAGCTGGCCCTTGCCGGGCTGCCCCATCCAGCTCTGCTCTTGGGTCTGACTGATTTCTCTGTCCCCCAGCACAGGCAAGGATGCCTATCCTCATGCCATTGCCACAGCCTGGGGGAACAGAGGGGTGTCTGGAATAGAGGGAACCTCACAAGCCCACAGACATAAGGCTGGGTGGAAAAACCGAAATTTGTCAGACTCCAAAACTGCAGGTCCTAGAAGGAAATCACTCATCCAACAATACAGAGAAAAAAATTTTTCCCTGGTTTTGGACTCATTTTCTTCCATTTTTGGGTCTCTTCTTTTTCTTACTCTTTAAATTTTTTTTTCTGTTTTTATTCTCTATATCTTTTCTTTTTCTTTCATCTTCTATTTCTTTTTTTTTTTTCTGTTACCTTTATGTAATTCTGTTAAATACTTTTTTTAAAAAATCTTTTTGAGTCAGGGTTTTGTTATGCAGTTCAGGCCGGTCTCAAACTCAGTGACCTCCTTCCTCAGCCTCCCAAGTGCTGGAACTACAGGTGTGCCACCGTGCCTGGCTACATCTCCCATTATTTAATTTTTTGAAATTTTCTTTTAGTATTCTTCCATTCCCAACTCCTTATATTTTTAATAGTATAATCATTAAGCTTTATCAATCATCAAATAGTTAATTCTGTTACTAATGTTGAACTGTTTTCTATCATTACTGGAGGTATAATTATTGCATTTAGTTGATATTTGCTATCTGCCAATACTTGATTTGTCTTGGAGTTTATGCTGTAATTGTAGATTTTTTTTTAAGGTTAAAGGTGGTACATTATTGATTGTTATGATTTGTCCAATTTGTTTTGGCTGATAATACTGTTGCTGACTTACTTGATATTGCTGGGGTCACATATTTGTTGCTATTAGTGAGTTTTCTCTTTATACCAATTCCCAGATTACCTTTGTGATTAATAATACTAACGGAAGTGATAGATCTTGGGGCTGAGACAAAGGACTGTAGTTAGCCATGCCCTGAGTGCACCACTGAAAAGCAGACCAACTAAAGAGATCTCCATACTAGCAACAAGTCTGCCTGCTCTATGTGAAGCATCCCTAAGTGCAAAACAAAACAAACAACAAACAATAAATATTAAAAATGTAGCGAAGCAACAGAATGGCTCTCCAAACTCCCAGCTTCCCCAAATCTGATCTGCAGGGCATTGAGGGGGAGGAAAGTAAAATCACATACCTGAATGATTTGAAAGGATAAGAGAGGTCAATAAGGTGTGCCCACAGAAGATAATACTAATCAGATAATGGAATTAATAAACAGCCAGGGAGCTTACAAAAGGCACTCATGAAAAGCCAACTGAGTGAAACAAAGTGATATAAAACATAAATGAACAGTGTAGCCCAGAACTAGAATATATCCATGAAAAGATTCTAAACAGAAATCCAGGAGGTCAAAAATTGTCTTGAAAGCATGGGCAGCAGAAGTGACCAATGGATGGCAGAGTATCAGAATGAATGCTTTTCAAGACCAGTTACTCACAGATACCCTAAAAACAAGAGAACATGAAAATTGGATCCAACAGCTGCTAGAAGATGCAAAGAAGTCTAATCTAAGATTAACTGGAGTAAGTGAAAAATCAGAAGACAACACAAAAACATAAAAACCTGTTTACAAAAATAATAGCAGGCCAAATCCAGGTGGCTACGGGCACACACCAAACTCTGGTTCAGGGCAGAGTGCACCAAAGGGCTGCAGTTCCCCTTTGTGCTTCAAAGCCCTGATCCAGCCAGTGCAGGTTCTGGGTGAGTAAGAGTAACTGTGCCTTCATCCTGAAGGTGACTCCTTGGATTTAAGATGATTGACAAAGACTCACTTCCTTAAGAGTTTCAACTGAGTGAAACAAACTTTAAAATTATGGCATGAGTGGCTGGGGATTTAGCTCAGCAGCATAAGCACCTGTCTTGCAAGCGCATGGTCGTGAGTTTGATCCCCAGTATCGATAAAAAAAAAATTACGGCATGAGATGAGTTCCAATTAAGCCAATGACAAAACTGGCTTAGAGGAGTCTGAAGAAAAGCTAAAGCAACAACAACAGGGATCTGCATGCAGGGAAAACATCCTCATAATGCAGCTTCGCAACCAAGGAACAAGAGATGCTAGACTGTGCTGCTCAATCCAGGACCTCAAGCAAGTCCAGCAGGTGAGTGTTGCCTAGCAGAGACCAACAATGATAGATCAGCAATCAAATTGTTTTTCCTAGAAGTGAACTGGGACAGACTAAAAACAAACTGAACAAGCTCAAAATAAACTGAGTGTCCAGAAGTTTATGCTGATAGGAAGACAAGCCATACTCCCCGGTCAAGACTTCCTCTACAGTCCCATTATGAGAAAGCTGTGATATGACCGTCAAGTACTCATTTCCTCACCAAGACTTCTTGAGTCCATGTCCTTTTACTTTCCAGCTTGTAATAGTTAACGTGAAACCTACTAGAGGACCTCATATTTTGGTTGTTTTCTCTTCCCCTTCCCCCTGCTTCAGAGGCCACATATCAGTGGACTATTTCAAAAGAGAGGACAGTTTTGATGAAGTCCCCTTCTAGAATGTGTAGACACTTCAGAAATGTTTCTGCTTGAAGAAAATGGAGACACCAGAGCCTTTTAGTCTGTGGCATACTGTGTCTTCTAAGTGTTTAGAGCATTGAAACCTTTAATTAAAACTGAACATATAAAGTTGTAGTAAAATGTAAAAACAAGACACACATCATTATTAACCTTGACCATAGTGTCATAGAGATGCTGTGTATCAGTTTTGCCAATAGGACTGCCCCTACATGATGTTGAACTTCTGGGTCAAAACTCAAAAGTGGTGAATTTTGCCTTAATTGGGTTTATTTGCTAAGAACCACCTTTAATAGTCTTGAAAGAAATAATAGATGTCAGTACAAGCAGTAAATATATTTAGCTGAAGGGAGCTGCGCGACTGCTGTCTCCCTGCCTCTCCCTTATATGGGCACATATTGCACCTACATCAACCATGATCCTCTCCTGCTCACTTCACGTACACGGACATGACGATGACCCATCAGAGATCACCCCGCAGCCTCTTCCTGTCCCACTGGCCCGCCCTTGCCCTATAAAAGCTGCGACCACTTCCTCAATAAACGAGACTTGATTGGGCTTCCTCAACTTGTCTCAACTTGTTTCCGTCTCTCTTTGTCTCTTGCCCTGTCTGTGTTAATCCCCGTTCCTCCTCCAGGTGGTTACCCCGTGGATTGACCCTCAGGCTGGGTCAAGTGGCGCCCAGCGTGGGGCACCTGGCACAGAGGATCCAATGAGGGAGCCGTCCAGGGACACGCACGTAAAAAGTGAAACTAACAGTTTTGTGACCAACGCTATGCGGGAGCCTGCCGCGCTGCTTGAGTCATAGTAAGTGTATGGCAATCCTTTTCCCTTTTTTCCGGCATGGGTCAAGCATTAAGTGATCACAAACTTTTCGTGGGAAGCCCAACTAAGGGGTTAAAGACAAGAGGGATTAAGGCTAAAGAAAAAGATTTACTACAATATTTTCAATTTATTTATAAGGTTTGCCCTTGGTTCCCTTTAGAGGGCTTTATTGATGCAAAAATATGGGAAAGAATAGGAGATGCATTAAAGGATTACTATTGGGTCTCTGGCCCTGAAAAAGTCCCGGTTACAGCCTTTGCCTACTGGAACCTAATCTCAGAGCTACTTATACAGCACTGCCAAGACCTTCAAATTGATGAAACAATCACCCAAGGTGAAGCCGCCCTGCGCGCTTCCGCTGCGCCAACACCGCTCCTCTCAGGAGACAAATCTGAAGTCTCTTGCCCCTCTGACCAGGAGGCAAATGATATATTAAAAAAGCTCCCAGATGGCAGCTCACTGCCACCCGAGCCCCTATCACCCGGGGCCCGCCACAACATTCTATATCCCGACCTCGCTCTTTTATAAGAGGTCGATTGGGAACAATTAGCAGAAGAAGCTAGCCGACATCACTCAGACCCTATCATAACCCCCGTTTCCATAAAACCACCCCCTCGCTACAATAAGACACCCAAATTGTCCAGCCCTTCTACCATGCTTTTCAACTTAGAGTCAGAGATTCATGACTTGCAACAACAGGTCCAATTAGAACAAGAAAAACAAAGACTCATTCTGCAACTCCAAACTTTATGGATGGGCCAATTGGACGCCACCCCTAAGATGGCGCCAGCTTCTAAAATGGTGCTTGCCTCACTTCCGCCACATCATGGCGGGCCCCTCCCCAAAATGACGTATCCTGAGATGGAGACAAATGTGCCTCCCCAAAATAGTGCCGCACAGTCTCAAGACGGCTCCATGCCACCAGCTCCACAAGTCATCAGGACCCATATGCCATTCACAGTGGCAGCCCTAAAAGAATTAAAAACAACAGTCACTCAATATGGCCCTACAGCTGTTTTCACTCTTGCTGTTTTAGATTCTATGACCCAAGGTTGGATTATTCCAAATGAATGGAGGGATTTAGCTAAAGCTACTCTCTCAGGGGGCAATTATTTACTCTGGAAGTCTGAATTTATAAAACAATATAAAAATATTGCTAGAGATAATGCCGCTAAACAAAACCCCTGGATCCTTCCCATGTTAATGGGAACTGGGGATTTTAACACCAAAGAGGCCCAAATGAGATCCCGGCCTCTTCGCACAAGTCAATGTGGCTACTAGGAAGCATCTCCCTTCCAGAGGTGAACTGACTTGCTCCCTTACCCAAATTAAACAAAAGCCTGTAGACTCACAGGTTAGACCAAACTGCTCCTGCCTTTCATATGAGGAAGCTGTACATTCTACATGTTATACAACAGTTTCTGAATGTGTCAGACCAAATAACAAAATTTATTTCACAGCCATCCTTACCAAAACTACTCCACCCCAATATGCCTCAGATTGGAGCACTAACCCCAAGGCCATTGGTGTCTCCCCATATTCTTAAGCAGGGTGTAAAGGCAATATAGGGGCACCCACATGTTGGTTCAGAGAGGCACCTGTCCATGTTTCTGATGGGGGAGGCCCCCAAGACAAGATCAGACAAAAATATATGTTCACCAACGACTAAAAGAGATGATAGCTTATTCCCAAAGATCAATTACCACCCATTGGCACTCCCCACACCTCAGAGAGTGGACCTAGATCCACAGACCTATGATATTCTTTTTTTTTTTAAGTCAGTCAAATTTAGCAGTGGGGGGGTGGTATACCAACTTTAGTGACACTAATGTTAGTAAGTTCTGATAACCCACTGCCATCGGACCAGCCTACCTATGATATTCTTTTAGCCACTCAAAAGGCGCTTAATGTCACCAACCCTAACCTAGCAAAGGACTGTTGGCTATGCATGGCTCTAGGCACTCCTATGCCAATAGCTATCCCCTCCAATTCAACACCTATCTCCCTAGAAGAGCCCCCTACCTGTATGCCTGGTCAGCCATTTCCTGTCCAGCGGGTGGGAATGACCAATTTATCTGTTCCATGTATCTAGGGATCCCTTAAAAATGACTCATCCATCATTGATGTGGGCCATCTCACGTTCCCCAATTGCTCTCAAACCGCCTATTACACTGATCCCTTATGCCTCGCCCCTCAGGACAAGTGTTTGTCTGTGAAGCCAATCTGGCTTACCCTTTTCTCCCATCCAATTGGTCAGGAATATGTATGTTAGCTGCCATTTTGTCTGATATTGATATAATTCCCGGACAAGAGCCTATACCCATACCAGAATTAACCTACATCTCTGGCCGCCAAAAACAAGCAGTGGCTTTTGTCCCACTTCTGATAGGAATGAGTGTCACCGGGACACTGGCCACCGGTACAGCTGGATTGGGTGTCGCCCTAGATAAGTACACTGAGCTCTCCAACCAGCTGTCAGAACATGTCCAGGCCTTGTCCGCCACCATACGGACCCTCCAAGATCAACTAGATTCATTGGCAGAGGTGGTCCTCCAAAACAGACGAGGGCTAGACCTCCTAACTATAGAACAGGGGGGAATTTGTCTTGCCTTACAGGAAAAATGTTGCTTCTATGTTAACCAATCTGGCATCGTACACGGAAAACTTCAAGTAATTGAAGAGCGGCTCAAATTGAGAAGACAACAGATGGCCTCTAACCCTTTCTCCACACTCTGGGAAGGGCTCTTCCCCTACCTAGTGCCCCTCCTGGGGCCCCTAGGTGCCCTGTTGCTTCTTCTCTCTGTGGGTCCTTGTGTTTTTCAGAGGATCATGACATTTGTTAATAGCCGGATAGACGCGTTTATGGCAAAGCCCATTCAGCTGGATATGGCAGATCAACAACCTACTGGGAAAGATTTCCCATGAATGGCCTATATGACGACATGGCCTAACTGCCCTGGGGCAATGGACAGGCAGCTAGAGACGGGCAACTAGGACATATATGCTATACCACCGGCCGCCTAAGACAGGCACAGGACCAACTGCTGCTGTCCTGCAAGCCAATGATGGGTAAGGCCCAGTTGGGTTCATGTAAAGAGGTCCTTGACCCAAGATAGGTGCTGTCCTCACAGGGCCTTCCATACTTCTGATTAAAAAATATATAAAAAGGGAGGAGATGTAGGGAGCCGTGCGATTGCCCCACTGCTGTCTCCCCGCCTCTCCCTTATATGGGCACATAGTGCACCTACATCAACCATGATCCTCTCCTCAACCATGATCGTCTGTGTACATGATGTGACGATGATCCATCAGAGATCACCCCTCAGCCTCTTCCTGTCCCACCGGTCCACCCTTGCCCTATAAAAGCTGTGACCACTTCCTCAATAAACGAGACTTGATTGGACTTCTTCAACTTGTCTCCATCTCTCTTTGCCTCTTGCCCTGTCTGTGTTAATCCTGTTCCTCCTCCATGGATTCCTACCCCATGGATTGACCCGCAGGCCGGGTCATTTAGCCATTTAGCTTAGGTCCCTATATTGCTTAATGTAGACTAAACCAATGTGGTTTTTCATCAATGTTTTTTTTTTCTTTGAGTGGTTCAAAACCTATAGATAATCTTAATCAAGGAGTACAGGCTTAAAAGGTTTAAAGTGTTTGAAATATTATAAACATTCATTTTACAACTAGCCTGTATAAGGACCTTGCCTATGATGAGACTCACTGTATTTTACTTTTTTCAGTGACAAATTTTATGAAATCTCCATCCCATTCAACAAGCATATGTTAAAAAAAATTATCTCTAGTGTTAATGGTTTAACTTTTTTTTTGGTACCAGGGATCAAACTCACAACCTTGTGCTTGCCAGGAAAGCACTTATGCCTCTGATCTAAATCCCTGGTCCTCTTTAGTGTTATTGGGAAATGCGTTCCCTTCATTGTATTTGGGAGTTTAATGTTAACACTTTTGATATTAAATAAATGTGCCTTAAAAAAGAATACTTGCACTGGGGATATAGTTCAGTGGCATAAGTGCCTGCCTGGCAAGTGTGAGATCGTGAGGTTAATCCTTGGTAGCAAAAAAAAAAAAAAAAAAAAAAAAAAAAACCAAAAAATCCAAAGAACTCTTAAAAAAGAAATAGTAGAAAAAACCTTTCCAAATATTGAGAAAGAATTAAACATACAGCTAAGTGAGGCATATGGAACCCAAATAGCCATGATCAAAGAGAAGTTCTCCACATAACACAATAGTCAAAATATCAGAAGTCCAAAAAAGGCACAAAATCTTAAAAGCTGTCATGGAAAAGCAGCAAGTCATTGATCAAGGAAAACCCATTAGAATTATAGCAGACTTTTAAACACAAACATTAAAGGCCAGAAGAGTTTGGAGCAAAATGTTTCAAGCTCTAAAAGAAAACAACTTTTAACTAAGATTTACATATCTACAAAGCTCTTTCAAAACTGATGGGGATGTGAGGTATCTCTGTGACAAAGAGCACCAGTGAGAGATTTATGACCACTAAGCCAGCACTACGAAAAATTTTCAAGGATATCACAGAAAGAGACAATGAAGCCAACAATGCCAAAAATCTCACAGAATCAATACAGAAGGTGGGGCAAGCAGCTAACC